GTAGCAGAAATGGGCTTATCAAGAGATGCACTTTATGTGGTGCAAACAATCATAATAAGAGAAGGTGCCCCAAAAGAGGAGGTGAAGGTGAACAGGTCAGTCAATTTTTAAATTTTGCAACTTCCAATTTTTTGTTATTTCAACAATCACAATTCTATTTTTCCAACAATCATAATTCTGTTATTTCAACAATCATAATCTCAGCCACAACCACAACCATCTCAGCCACAGCCACAACCATCTCAGCCACAACCACAACCATCTCAGCCACAACCACAACCATCTCAGCAATCTCAGTCGTCTCAGCCATCTGAGCCTCCCATGCCATCTTTTGAAGATTTTATTCAGTGCTCTAGCCCTCAAACCTTCACTCAACAAAGCAGGGAATATGGTGGTGATTGGTGATTTCATGGTGTGTTGGTCAGTAAACATTTGATTTCGTGAAGAATTGCTTTTTCTTTTGTATGTTGGTTAGTGTTTATGTTTGTGATGATTACAGTTATGACAGTATTTTGGTGTTTATGGATATTGACAGTATTTTGGATAATTTATGGTGATGACAGTATTGTTTTGAATGCTATTGACAGTATTTTTGGCTATTTTGGCTATTGATAGTAATGTTTTGAATGATGACAGTGTTTTTTGCTATTTGTGGCTATTGATAGTAGTGATAACAATATTTTGAATGTTACATTGTTGGAGATAGATGTGGTGAGAGTGGAGTGGCTGGAATGTTGATAGTTTATTTTTGTAGTTGAGGTTTGATCTAGTGTATAGTTTGTTGTGTATGATTTAGTTGCCGTACTTGCTTTCTCTATGATTAGCTGTGTGAGTTTTCTTCTTTTGTCTAGAATAAATTACTGCATTTCATTGATAATAAAGGTATACATTGTCCAAATGATTACATTAATTATCATCTAAAATTACTTGAGAACAATAACAGTCAAAAGGATTACAATAATAAAAAAAAAGAAAAAAACAATCCATTGCTAAATTTTTTCTCAATTTTCTCCATCTTTGACTACATCTCCTTCAGCATTGTTGCGACTTCTACATTTTTATTTGTTAGCTTTGCTCCGGTTGACTGAACTTCATCATCATCATCTTCATAACCAACTTCATTTTCTTGGATTTCATTTGACTTCACCCGATTCACTGAGGCAGGTTTAAGCCAAGTAAAGAAATGACATTTGTTGTACGGACAATTGCAAAATAGTTTGCCAACATTTTCTTTTGTAGGACCAACGACCCTAATGTGAGCAAATGTGTTGCAATAACACTTAGGGTGCTTATACCCTAGATCCAAACTGTCATTCTTTGACATCTTTGATTTTTGGGAAGTAGACATCTTCAACCTGCATAAAAAAAATAAAATAAAAAATAACAAAAAAACAAAAATAAAATATTTATAAAAAAATATTTGAAAACCTGTTGTGTTGTGCAATTTTGGGGAAGAAGAAATGTGGTGTACAAAAAAATATTTATAAAAAAATATGTTGATGTGCATTTCGACCTAAACAAAAAAAAAGGAAGAAGATGATACTTGTGCGTCGTCCTATTTTGAGGAAGGAGGAAGAAGTAAAAAAAAAGGGTGAAATGAAAAAGTTATGTTGTGCAATTTTCGGCCGAAAGAAAAAACAAATGAAGAAGGAGTGCGTACCTGTGAAAAAATCTGTTGTGTGATTAGGGTGAGAAGTGGGGAAGAAGATCAGCATTTAAATGGCTGATTTTAAAGGTAAGAAAGCAACTTCCGCGACTTTGGGGTGAAAAAATGAAGAAAAAGCTGCACAACACGCGCGTGCACACCACTCCCGTCATCTTAGACGGTTTAGGGTGCTTCGCGCATGCAAAACTACATTACAAGGGGGTCTGACGCAATTTTTATAATATAGGGAGAAAACGTGCAAATTTCATATAATACAGAGGGGGTTTGGTGCAATTTACCCAAATATAATTATTAACAATATTGTTATTGTACTTCACACTAAAATATTTAAGTCAATCAGAACGACTAGGAAAGACATGAGACAAAAAACTAACACATAAAACATAGTGATGGAATTTATAATGATATAATTCGTAAAAATTTCCATAGCGTAAGTAGTAAAAATTGTAATCATAAGTAATAGTTCGAATATGTTTTTTCTTTTGAGAATTTTTTTTTTATTTAAGAGTTTGTAATGTGTGTTCATATATGATGTGTAGTTGTATATACAGAGCGATAAATACTAAAAAGCCATTGAAATCATTAACTAGTCGTTGCAATTTCTTATAATTTTTTTATTTGTGATATTTTTTTATATATTATTAATATTATTATTATTATTATTATTATTATTATTATTATTATTATTATTACTACTACTACTACTACTATTACTACTACTATTATTATTATTATAGCCCCCATAGCCCATTTAGCTCGAGACCGCTAGGGTTAGGGTTATGTCCCTTTATTGGTAGCCCATTTAAATCTGAGTTTTTAGACTATTTAACTCAAAACCAGATAGAGTTAGCCCGTTTAACATCTCTAGACTCATAACTAGCTTGATAATCTCATGCCCATTCGACCATTCCCAAGTGCCAACCAATGCCCACCTAATAATAATAATAGATAATAAATAATAATAATATAATCTATAATTATATTAAAAGGTATACCATTTACCAGATTTAGTATAAAAAAAAGTCAACAACATTTATTGCATTACTATTTCCGTATTATACAATCTATACTTATATAAAAGGAGATTCTATTTACTACATTTACTATCCAGAAAAGTCAACTGCATTAAATGTCATTACTATTTTGGTATTATAATATTTTATTTATTTAATTGGTTTATTTATTTATTTTATTTTAAAAAGATAAGTATAATAAAAAGATTTTAATAATAAAAAAATTAAATACCAAATAAAAATGTACACTTTGACTTATTTGATTATATTTGGCATTAGACTATACCAAATATATTCTTATTTAGTATATATATTAAATACTTATTAAAGTATTTATTTGTTTTATTTATCAAAGTTAAGTATAGATTTGTTTATATTATCAAATCATAAAAAAATATTAAATTCATATTGTTAAAAAAAAATCATATAATTTTATAACAATTCTACTACACTATTTAACAATATTTCTTTTTTATTATATAATAAAATAATAATTAAATATTATATGGTGAACAACAATAAGTAAAACTGTTACTTTCTCTTATATCAAGGGATAAAGTTATATGCTAAAATTAAATTTTTATTAGTATAAATGTTTTTGTGTGATAATATATTAATTATTTTACAAGTTAGCCCTAACATGCTCATATTTAATGTTTTAAAAGATGTAGGAAAAAAAACTTATAATAACTCTATTGTTTTTTAGACTTAAGCGTTGATTAAAAGAGGTAAAAATTCTTAATTTTTTAGACTTAAACGTTGATTAACACCATAGATTGAGGGTTTATATTTAGTAAAATTCCTAATTGTAATACAAAAATTAATTTTTGCTATATTTTAGAATATCTTTAAATTCATTATAAAAAAAAAAGAAAAAAAAACTACAATGAAAAAAGCAAGTCAGCTATATATCGATTTGTTGTACTCCTCAAATCACATTCACAATTTGGCTACAAGGAAAGGAAACTCATTGATTAAAATATTATTTTGTCAGTAGTCTTAATGTACAAGACACTTTAAAACTCCACTTGAATATTATAAAACTTTTATTGAAAGGAAACTCATTGATTTTTTTTAATAATAAAAAAAATCAAATACCAAATAAAAATGTACACTTTGACTTATTTGATTATATTTGGTATTTGATTATACCAAATATATTCCTATTTAGTATATACATTAAATACTTACTAAAGTATTTATTTGTTTTATTTGTCAAAGTTAAGTATAGATTTGTTTATATTATCAAATCATAAAAAAATATTAAATCCATATTGTAAAAAAAAAAATCATATAATTTTATAACAATTCTACTACACTATTTAACAATATTCCTTTTTTATTATATAATAAAATAATAATTAAATATTATATGGTGAACAACAATAAGTAAAACTGTTACTTTCTCTTATATCAAGGGATAAATTTATATGCTAAAATTAAATTTTTATTAGTATAAATGTTTTAGTGAGATAATATATTAATTATTTTACAAGCTAGCCCTAATATGCTCATATTTAATGTTTTAAAAGATGTAGAAAAAAACTTATAATAACTCTATTGTTTTTTAGACTTAAACGTTGATTAAAAGAGGTAAAAATTCCTAATTGTGTAGACTTAAACGTTGATTAACACCATAGATTGAGAGTTTATATTTAGTAAAATTCCTAATTAATAAAAAAATTAATTTTTGCTATATTTTAGAATATCTTTAAATTCATTATAAAAAAAAGAAAAAAAACTACAATGAAAAAAGCAAGTCAGCTATATATCGATTTGTTGTACTCCTCAAATCACATTCACAATTTGGCTACAAGGAAAGAAAACTCATTGATTAAAATATTATTTTGTATTATTTTGTCAGTAGTCTTAATGTACAAGAGACTTTAAGACTCCACTTGAATATTATAAAACTTTTATTGAACATTGTACAATTTTCTTGCGTATTATAAACTTTTATTGAATATTGCATCTTATAATACAATATTTCCAAATAAATATATATCTCGTGCTTCGGGTAACGTATTATATCCGGTACATTTTTCTTTATTCATGTATATAATTATAAGCCTGAATAAATAGCCTTAAAGCCTTAAAATTATACACCCCGTGCATGACACGGCTCTGTACTAGTAATAATAATAATAATAATAATAATAATAATTATCTCAAAGTGATCTTTCCGGCGCACGCTGCTCGCACACTTGTGCTCCAAGGGTTTGCAACCTCCTCATCGTTAATTCCGTCCCTCGGATCTCATTTTGAACGCTGCAGAATTTTTTTTGTCTTCCCTGATTCATTTGTACCATCTGTAATCTTTTATGCTTCGCGGCGCTGATGTAAAGAGGGCGTGCCGTCGGAAGAATCTCCTCCCTTTCATGCTTGTCGTTGGTGGTGATTTTATGGTAACTTTAGAAGATCTGAAGGTTGTTGTGGGTAATATCAAAATTTGAGGAGCTTTGAGGGTATGGATTTGGATATTAATGTTGATGTGGGTCGGCTAGATGCCGAACTACTGCAGCTTCCGGAGGTTTCTTCTTTGGCCGTCAAAGCCAACCCTTACGTGGCGGAGAAGCTCTTTGATCAGTGGCTATCTCTTTCCGAAACCAATTCTCTGGTAATCATTGAATATTTTATATATATTTATATTTACATATTTTTCTGTATTGGGATTTTTTACATTACTCTCAGTGGGCGTTGTTCCTGATTGGTGTGGCATGTTGGTACATTTGTTGATTTCGTTTGGTTTGATAAAGAGTAAGTAATTGGGGATTTCTGATTAAAACAAACGTGTATTTTGCTCTAATAATACTGGAAGGTGTAAGCAATCCATCTTCGGGATTTGAGAAGCGGGTGATTGTGATTCACTTTTGAGTTTTTTTGGTAAGATTATGATTATGATATAATGGGGCAACATGTTTGAAGAAGCTTCACTTGGTTGGTGGGTCAAAAGGATACTTAGGGCATAACTTATTGGTTGATTTGGAAAGTGACGATTGGTAGGGAGATAGTCCAGTTTATCCTGGGGTATAGTTCCCCATTGCATTTGTGGACCTGTCTTTCTAATGAGCATTTTAGTGTGTTTTTTTTCTAAGGCTTATTGACCCCTACATGATTGCGGTTGGTAACGAGACTCTGTGTTTAGACTACCATTTATCTAGTGGCGAGTGGCAAGAGATATTAGTAATGTTGATACATTTTCTTGTCTCTTTTGAACATGCGCTCCAAAGTGAAATCTAACGTCTTTAAGGTTTACCTTTCATCTTGAATATTGTTTCTTCAACTTGTTTCCATCTCTAATTAGCAGACATTATGTTAGTGAACCTCATGTTTTATTATAATCTGCATGTTCAAAACATACTAATGTTTGTAAATGGCAATAGATTGTTTTATGTTGTCATCTGGTTAACTAACACGTGATTCTTGCAGTCAGTACATTGCCAATTTCCAGTTTTATAATCTTTTTTCTAAGTTTGAATGTATTTGGAAGTGTACTGTTGTACATTCAAGGAGGAATGATTTCCATGTTTTAGTGTCTATGACTTTCCTAATTAGCAATTTCAATCTAATTTCTTTTTGGTGATGATTGATATAATGTGCAGTTTTTCCCAATAATATTTATGTTAACATTATGGCATTACATGGGCATGGTGGAATATAACCGTGTTTTCTTTCACCATCCACCGGGTTTTATTATAACCACGATTTATTTATTTGTTTTTGTTTTGACTTTCAAAAACCAAATATAAGGATTTTTGTTTTTGTCTTTTATAGACCAACCTAAAGATGAAAACTTAATGTTTTTATTTTATGACTGATTCTTGGTTTACTGCTAGAGCTTCGATCAGTACTGATAACCTCCATAGTTGCTATAACTAATATTAAGATTAATGACCCTCTATACATTTAGCTAAATGTTCCATATCATGCAATGCTACCGTTTATGGAGATGTTTTCAGATAATATAAGTGGTCGCTGTAAATTTTTGTAGTTAAATTGAAGTTGGTCAATATCATTATCCATAAGCTCCATACATAGTAAAGTTACCTGAATGTATAAACTGTAGAAGTCTTTTGGGGTTATAGCTATTTGAACTCACTTTCATTTGGTTTTCTTGTGAGCTCTTTGGAAACCTTTTTTTTTTTTTTGCTTTTTCTGTCATTAGATTGAAAACTTTTGGAGTTCTTGGCTTTAGATCAAGCTTTTTTCTTGCTGTTTCCAAGGTGCCTGCCTTGAAAGTTGCTCCTTGAGTACTTGATTGGTTTTCTCTTATAGAAGGAGTGGAATTTAATAAACTAGCATCTATTGTGCAAACATATAAAATCAGAAAAATTAAAAACCTGATACCAGAAATACTTTTACCATAATGTTAAAAATTAAAAGTTCTACCTGTTGAACGTATTTATCTATGCATCCATTTTAGTTGACTGGCAAGGAATAGCAACAATTTGTGCACAATGCATTTAGCATGATCTATGAAACAGTTACACGTGATCAAGTTCTCTTGCTTGAATGAGTTAGCACACATGCTGAAACAACACATAATTTGTTTGCATTTCTACAGTTAAAAATTGGTTAACACCTGCGATCCGATTGTGTAGAAATATTCGAGTTATATGTATCTATAGTCATGTTTACGTTTATTAATTATTTTAGGTGATCCCGTGCCTTAAACCTAAAGATAATAATATTCTTTGATTAACAAATTGAGTTTTCATGTATTGCCGGGAATCTCTGTTAATTCTACAACATTTTTTATGCTAGGTCATGGAGACGGAAATTTCATATTATATGGACCTGTTGCAGTTGCATTTCTAATTTCCCATTTGTTTTTGCTCCAAGAGTTACGTCTTTGAGTTCATGTTGATAACTAATGCTACTTTCTAGTATGTTGACCACATCTTATCGTTGTTCATTGGCTCACATTATACTTTTGAAATAACTAATCTTAGGAGATCTACTATTGTTCTAATACTTACCAGAATGGTTTCTTCATATATATGCATATATTTTATATTCCTATATTATATAATTTGACATTGGTATACCCTTACTGGTTTATATATTGTATCTCAAAATTTATCCTTGGAACTTTTGGACTCATATTATAATCTACCTTCCCTTCAGCACCAAATTGAAAAATTGAAAAGAATTATTGCTTTAAGTTGCAGGTGTTTTAATTAGGCAGAAATGAAATGATGTCACTTTGGGCATTCGTGTATAATGTTATATGGAACTGCATATTCTGCACTCTAATATAATGTCATTAGTGCTAAAATTTGATCATATGAATATGCAGACTGCCAACGGATGCAAGCTTAACGGTTGTTTGTTTAAAAGTCTTATCGTAAATGAACCTTAGTTTATGACTATTCACCAAAATTACATGTGAATTGTAGGTTAAATCCTTGCTCAATAATGCTAAAGGAGCTGGTGCATTAAATTTCTGTGGGACGTCATCCAGCACAAATGCTACTGCAAGCAATTCATTGCCTTCAATGTTTCCGGCAGGCAGTACTCCACCACTTTCACCAAGAAGTTCATCGGGTTCACCTCGGATCACGAAGCATAGAGCTGGCCTTGGCCTATCTGCTTTAGGTTCTCCACTGAAATTAGTGAGCGAGCCAGTGAAGGAGCTTATACCTCAGGTTTAACTTGTTGCTCTTTGATACTTAAATGGAAAGTTTTCCTGTTTATTTGATTCTTTTCCTTTTTTTTTTAATAAAATTAATTGATATCTAAATAAATGTGGATGAAATGCAGTTCTACTTCCTAAATGGCCGGCCACCTCCAAATGAATTGAAAGAACGGTGTTTGTTTAGAATCAATCAGTTTTTCTACGGTCATGTGGATGGACTCCAAATGCATGGTGAGATTTTCTTTATGTCATGTTTTATATTATCATTGTTTTCTTTCGGTTTGATAACTAATAATTAATTGTGCATCAGACTTTTTCAATATAGTTACAATATTTAATTTTAACTCTCGTCTACTGTCCTTTCTGAACTTTATGTATGAGATATAAACTGACCCCTGTTATTCCTCTGCTGTAATGCTTTCCCGTCGATGGGTATTCAGAATTCAAACTGGTAACTAAAGAAATTTGCAAGCTACCATCATTCTTCTCTTCTGCACTGTTTAGAAAGATAGATGTTGAAGGCACAGGAACTGTGACCAGGTAGCGGCTCATATCTATTTCTTCATTTATTTTTTACGTTAAAACATGACACTGATTTTTGAATTTCTTTTTCTCATTCATATGTGCACATCCTTTAAATTGATCAACTTAATCCAAAGGGAAGAAAAAATTAAGTGCACCTCATATTGGGTTTGTCACATGCTACCCCTTCTAATTTTTTAATGTGGGGTGGAAATCGAGGGCCAACTTTTTCTTTCTTTTCCTTTTTTTATATGCTCTTCACAGTCATTCAATGGCATGGAGCAATGTAAGACAATATGCTAGAGTTATTGATTGTATTAATTTTACTGGGAAAAGAAGTGATCACACGATCTTTGTATTTTATTCTGATCTCCGATTTCTTTGAAATAGAGAGACAGATATAGCAACCCAAATATACACAATAATTTATTTCTTTGCCTAATCTCTTCTCTTTATATCGATCCATCACTCTATCATGCCAACAGGGATGTTTTTGTCAACTATTGGATTAGTGGAAACATGTTGACAAAAGATATAGCAACCCAAATATACACAATATTGAAGCAGCCAGATGCCAGGCACTTGGCTCAGGTTCCATGATAACCAAGGCTCTTGATTTGGATCTTGACTACACTTACTATTATTAATATCATGGTTCATATGTAAGCAATATTGTCAATTTCATGTAGGATGATTTCAAACCTGTGCTTCGAGAACTTTTGGCAACTCATCCGGGGTTGGAGTTTTTACAGAGTACTCCTGAGTTTCAAGAAAGATATGGTATGTTACAGAATGTTTTCGTATTGCTTGGTTTCTTTCTTTGTTTGACTTCTCTTCTTGTTTTTGACTTGTGGTGAACTTATTCCTCAATCTTGTTTAGGATAAAATCAGGTCAACTTTTCATTGCTTCAGAATTGGTTTTAAGAGTTATTTTTTAAGACGGACTGCATACTTATACAATTTATTTATAAGATTCTGTTTGTTTAATTGTTATATTTGACTTAATAGATTACGCAGAGACACTAGAATTATGATCAGAAATTTGGAATACTTTAATCACTGACTCGTTTTCATGTTTGTAACATTTCCAGAGTTGGAAATATTTTTCTAGGGTTTCCTGTAAAAATGAGAATATATTGGATTAGTTTTGTTTTTATGTAAATTGCGTATTTTAGAAAATGCATTTTTTGGTTTATGTTGTCCTATAGATGTAAAGATACGGTGTATGCTTTTATTTTAAAATGAGATTTGTAGATGGATGAAAAAACTTGGGATATGAGTAGGTTAGAAAATGAATTTAGAAGAATGATTGATAGTTAGGTATTCTAAATTTCAGAATTCAAGTATAGTAAAACCAAAATATGCTTCCTGAAATTAAATGAGCTCTATATTTTCTCAGTCTCAAAAACATTTGATAGAAAGTTGCGAAAGTTAATTAGGTAATGCATATCGGTATTTGGCTCTAATCCCACCCGTTGGTGCTCTAAAAAAGTCAAAAATATTGATCCTTAAATTACCAGGAATTAAATTAGGTTATGTTGTTAAATATACAAAGTGTTTTTGTAGTTCTGTATGTCAGTTCTAGTCATATTTTCATCACTGTGGAGGATGACAGATACATATTCAATATTGCTTAAATTGCAATATTTCATGGAACTCATATTTATAGGCCTGTACTATTTTCTTGATTGTGAATCAGTTAAACATGCTGATTTTACTTGATAACTGATTCTCTTGCTTATGTCAGTTTGAGATACTTACATGCAATGCTTTTAATGCAGTTCTCCCTTGAAAGATATATTTCCAACAATAAAAGTATGCTATTGATCTTTTAGTCTTTTTTCCATTTCTTAATAAAAACAACTTATTAAAGAAAAAAGACGAGTCCGCAAACTCTGTTGAACATTCCTCTAAATAATAAAACATTCTCCTATTTTTTTCTATTTAGGTTAGACTACTACACTAAATGATCCCAAAAGATTCGCCTATATTGCCAATGACTTTCAGGGTTTGATGAGATCAGATTGATCATGATTCGTAAAACATAGAAAGAAACCTGTGTTGAATAGTATGTAGCATGCATATTTTGCTTAATCTTTTCTATTATCTCTACCTGTCACTTTCTGTTTCTTTTTTATTTATATTCTTTTCACGCATTTTTTTTTCTGTGCCATATTGGTGTACTATTAGTAAGTTTCAATGTGATTGCTGGCCTGACTTCATGCATTCTGGTTAACTTTTTTATTTATTTTCTTTTCATGCATTTCTTTTTTTTTCTCTTGTGCCATATTGGTGTACTATTGGTAAGTTTCAATGTGATTGCTGGCCTGACTTCGTGCATTCTGGTTATACTTGCACTAGCAAAAAAAATTGTTTGGTGGAATAACATTTCAATTTTTTTTCCTATTTCCAGCTGAAACCGTAATATACAGAATATTTTATCACGTGAATAGATCCGGTAATGGCCATATTACCCTCAGGGAGCTGAAACGTTCTAACTTAATTGCTGCAATGCAGCATGCTGATGAGGAAGAGGACATCAACAAAGTTTTAAGGTAATTATTGTAGCTTTTTCATTTTTACGTCTTACTTTGTGAGCTTCTATTGCATACTCTTTTTGGGTAGGAGAGATATTTTTTCAATTGGATTTTGAATGTTGCATATCCCAATTGGATTTCCAATTCCTATTCCAAATCAGGTTTTTTGACTTTCTAATAATTGCAATTCAAATATACATTTCCTATCAGATGACTAACCTATTTGGTCATCTCTATGTGTGTGCATGTGAGAATCCTAATGCAAGGGAATTTCGAGTGAAGGTGCTTCAATGTTGTTTTGAATTATTCAGTAATCAAATGAGTTTTTGGTTTTGTAATATTGTATCTGCACACTTTATCTGTTGTACTAATCTTGCTCATAAGAAGTAGATAAAAGCATGCAATTTTATCTGAAATATGGGTTCTGGAATTGGGAAATATGAAATCCAAATCCAGACTTTACCTGAATTTGAAATTTCGAATTGGCACAAGTTTGGCTTGAAATTCCATGATCAATTTGAATTAACACAAATCAAATTGAATTAAGATATAATAATTGCGCTTATAAAATTTGAGTTTAAGTTTCTTTGATTCGTAGAAGTTGAGGATTCAAAATTCTGTTCAGTACTTTAATGAGCAGTCTAATTTTTCCGTTGGTAAAAATAGTACATTAGTGTGACCAAGTGTTTATGCTCTTGGTTATAGAGAAGAGAGCCTCATAGAATGATTTCTTTTTTGTTCGGATCAAAGGTGATGTACGTATTTCTTGCGAGTCAATAGTATATCAGATGCACTTCAGAAGTGTGTACAATTTTAAATCTCTGGCACATTTTTCCCTTTCTTCTTCTTTTCTTTTTACATTGCTTGCCTTTCATTTCTACCACATTGACATCTCTACCAGCCTTTATTTTTCCATTTCATGATAGCATTTTTTTCTTACTGCAGGTATTTCTCTTATGAGCATTTTTATGTGATATATTGTAAGTTCTGGGAGCTGGATACAGATCACGACTTCTTAATCGACAAAGAGAACCTCATCAGATATGGTAATCATGCACTTACCTACAGGATTGTTGATCGGATATTTTCTCAGGTTTGGAGTCTCTTTGTTCTTATTCAAGTTCATTTTCGCCCTATAAAGAGACTAATTTCTGTTCCTATTTGGGATTTGGCTAAGGTCCCCAGAAAGTTCACCTGTAATGTTGAGGGAAAGATGGGATATGAAGATTTCATTTATTTCATATTGTCAGAGGAAGATAAATCATCTGAGCCTAGTCTTGAATACTGGTTTGTTTTCTCTTTTNCTGCAATCTTATTGTATGTTGAGGTTTTTCTTTGCCTCCCTACACAAGTTATTCAACAGTTTCATTCCCTAATGCCAGTCCATCTCTAGATTTCGTGTTCAATTTGAAATGCATAGAGTATTATAGTGGAAAAAATGGATGAGTTTTTGACAATATTTGCAGAGGTTGTGTCCCAAAGGTACGGAATGGATGTGTAATCATAAAACCGTAAAAAAAAGGATTATTTTGAGAAATCATTTTCACTCATAATATGTTGGTAGGCTGTCATTGTGCCGACTCTGAATGTTTTCTGATACTTTCTGTTTTTACGTTTAATTAGTTAGTGGAGAACTTATTGAAGAATTTACGGTTCTCTTGGTAGGTCAGAGCAGCCCTGTTGTTAGTCATTTGTAGGGTATGGAATTATTTATCAACAAGTAAATCCTTTTTACTGAATCACTGTTTCGTGCATTTCTAGAAATTTGGATTTGGAAAGGTTTAAATGTGTGTAGTTATTTCTAACAGACTTAAGAGTATACCACTTTTGTTGTTCTAACTTGCTCATTCGTTCTGTTTTTCTATAAGTAGGAACCATATGAAGATAAAAAATTGATCAAAGTTCTCTTTCTCCCAGGTTCAAGTGCATAGATTTAGATGGTAATGGGATTATCACAAGGAATGAGATGCAATTCTTTTATGAAGAGCAGTTGCACAGAATGGAGTGCATGGCCCAAGAGCCTGTGCTTTTTGAAGATATTTTATGTCAGATAGTTGACATGATTCATCCAGAGGTGTGGGAACCCTACAGGACACTAATGTCATTATGTATCTTTTCAATTTTTTCTTTCAAAGTGACATCTATTATATTGATATTTCTGATAAGAGCAATGGAGTCTTGCCTTCTATCCTTGTCATCCAGAGATTAAAAAAGTTGCCGAGGCCTGAGGTGATGCGCTCGCCTCATCGAAGTGAGGCGATCACCTAGAAAAAATTAAGATTCATGGATAATGAATAATAACATATAATTCAGGCACACGAAAAAAAAAAAAAAGATAGAAGTCCCAATCGAGAGGTTTTAATTATCGCCAAAAAAGAAAGCCTCAAATTTGGACTATATTAGCTAGCTTTGAGCTACCTTGCCCACCAACTCACCAGAGTATAGAATTTGATTTACAGGAATGAATAGCAAAATCACACACTCTCACTGAGAATATTATCAAAAAAAGGATGACAAGTAGTATTGAATATTAGGTTTCTCTGGTTCTGCAAGAAAAAAAAAGTGGCGAAATTTGACTTATATTGGCTGGCAGCTCCATCAACGTCCAATACTGAATACGATGGGTCAAAACAACTGCCAGAAGTTAAGCACTAGGGGAAAAAACAGAGAAAAGAAATTGAGAAGATATACCTTCAGTCTCAGTTTGTTGGATTAGTTGGATTCAGGGGCCACCGCTCGCCTGAAACCACCTGTATCAGTTTGTCGGGTTCAGATGAAGGGAAAGCATGAACCAGTTGTGGGTTTGGTTAGGGCAAAGAAGTGTAATTGAGATCTATTTAAGGACAAACCCTAAATTGGTGCCCTAAAATTAGGGTTAGCGCCTCTACTAATCGAGGGTAGCTCATTGGTGTCACCTTTCGGAAGTGTGTCTCTCCACAGCTGTTTGAGGCGCCCAGGCCTTGCCTCATGCCATGGCGTCGCCATTTCAATCACTGCTTGTTACTCTTTTTCCGCCATCTGTATGCGATGCTTTGCCTAAAGAGTTTCGATTATGGAATTAATTTTATTTTTGCTGTATCTTTCTAATGGCTATGTTGTCTAATGTACACTTTGGTTGTGTGGAAGGAGGTCTTATAGTAGAAGAAAGTAGCATTAAGTAGTGTGAGATAGGGCATAATCTACCGCTTGTAGTTTTTGTTAACTAGACCATTCGTTTTAACTATTTGTTTGTTAGTTATATGTCACTGCGATGACATCTCATGACATGAAGACTTATTTCTTCTGCAGGACGAGAGCTATCTTACATTACGAGATTTAAAAGGAAGCAAACTTTCAGGCAGTGTTCTCAATATCCTTTTTAATCTTAACAAGTTCATGGCTTTTGAGACACGCGACCCATTTCTTATTCGACAGGTAACACTATAGCAACTTTATTACTAGGAATGCTTAATAATGCTCTGTTCAGAACGTCGTTTACAGTCCCAGGGTTGTGCAGTTATTGACCCTTTAATTCCTAACAGGAGCGTGAGAACCCAAATTTGACAGAGTGGGACCGCTTTGCACATAGAGAATATATCCGCCTTTCAATGGAGGAAGATGCAGAAGATGCCTCCAATGGAAGTGCAGATGTTTGGGATGAATCACTTGAAGCTCCGTTTTAAATTTTGCTTGGTGAGATCTTTATTCCTGTTAAGAAATTAAGTTGTCTTTCTGTATTAAACTTTGCTGGAAAATGTCTCTGTTTAAATATGTTCATTATCATACTTGTATTTTTACAATCTTAAATTATCCCAGTAGTAGAAATAAGGTTATGTAAATATGGAAAAGGTTTTTATGTTATTATAAACTTGTTAGATCTAATTTTTAAAGCCTAAGAATAATATGAATATGGATTTGCACAGTGGTAACTTGAAAGAAACAATATGTTTCCAACATGGCATGCAAATTCATTAGGCTCCCTTGTGAATTTGATTCTCGTTCCTCGCACTGTTCTAAAAATTGGCCTAGGCGGCCGCCTAGGCGGCGCCTCCGATTTGTACAAATCGGCAGAAAAAATCGGCCAGGCGGCTAGGCGGCGCCTAGGCGGGCCTAGGCGGCCATAGGCGCTCCTAGGCGGCCTTGGCGGGCTCGGCGGCCAGGCGGTTAGGCGGCGTCTAGGCGGGCGTAGGCGGACCTAGGCGCTCCTAGGCGGGCTCGGCGGCAATTTTTCATTTTTTTTTTAATTTTTTTTTATTTTTTTAAATACTAATTACATTATTTTGTTCTCATGTTTTCTTTAATATATATTAATATTGTTATTTGGACTTTGGTGTGTGAATTTATTATATGTTGAGATAATTTTATTTTGTAGGTAGTTAAAATAAATAAAAAATAAGGTATTTACTATTGATTTCTGGGCCCCGACTAGGCGCCGCCTAGGCCCCGACTAGGCGCTCTAGGCGCTAGGCACTGGTCGAGCGCCTAGCGGACGCCTAGCGACTTTTAGAACACTGGTTCCTCGTAATGTTTTTCTCCTTCATCTCCTATGTAATCAACGAATATTTTGGTGCACGTACCAGAAGGATCTTTTAGTCCATTATGTAAATGGTTGCATGATTGCTTGAAATTGAAGTTTCTTTGGTTTGCCAAATTTGAAATAAAAGTTTCTGATTTCAAAATGGTGGGTTAATGGCGTTGGTTTGAGTGCGGATGTAATTTGATTTTTGATGTGAGTTAGTTTGTGGTAGCTAGGGAATAGTGTGATGTGATGCGGTAAGGGTAATCATTTTGGTGTTCATCTTTCGGTCATTTTGATAGGGCTCGGCTGGCTTTTTTACTAGTGGATACTGATAGGCTTATCTCACTAGTAACAGACTACGTCACATCTCTTGCTCTGTAATGCATAAAACAAAGCACGAGTTAGTATGAGATTTTATCACGTGGTAGTTCTTCTTCTTCAGTTTCTGAAGCGGAAAAGTTGTTGAGTTTCCGTTATCAGATGACCTGTGATCCTCTTTTCCATGTATTAAACTTTTGCTACCAAAAACCTTAGATGAATTAGTACGTTTGCCAACATTGTATCCGTATAGACCTCTTTTACATCTACGGTACATTGATTTTCTCTCGTGCTGATGGGACGTGGCACTTGTTGCTATCTTTGTTGTGTTCATCTTTCACTGCAAGGGGTGTACAGATTTCTGAATATTGTTCACAATTTGAAGGATGAATTTGGCTAGAATCATCCATAATTTTACATGGCACCGCCAAACTAGGATTTTTCGAAACATGCCTTCCTACATCTGAATATTGGAGTGACCAAAGGCTGACCCATCCCATTTCCGACCTCTTGTGATGGTCGGCTGCCATCTCGCTACTGTGTACCTCCAGATAACTGTTGTCGCTGCTGCTTCTGCCTCTTTTTTTTTTCTGATTATTTTTCTGTGCTATATGCAACTTGGCCGCTACCTATATTTTATTTTAACTTTTATTTTTTTTATTTGTTTCTTTTTTCTTTTTCATAATAGTTTTTCTGTTCCTAATATTTTATCCCTTTCCGTCTCTTTTTGCTTACTTTGCCTGTTTTTTTATTTTCATTTTGCCGTTGCTTTTTTTTTCCTCATTCTGTTTTTTTTTTCCTTATCTTTCCTTTTGCTGTTCTTTGTGACGCTGCCTGCCTGCTTCTGGCTCATATCAGTTTCTAATATCATCTCACAGATTCCAATTTTCTCATTCTGTTTTTTCCTTATCTTTTTCCCTTTTCCTTTTCTCATTCTGTTTTCTCCTTATCAGCTTCTACTCTAATAAGAGTAATGCTATTTATTATCTGTTTCTAATATCATCTCACATATTCCAATTTTTTATTTTTTAGGTGCTATCATTGAAACTAATGTGTTGGGTAATAATCCCCCTCCATTTTATTTGTGACATGTTTCTATCTTCATGGAGATAATTGTGGTTGATTTTTTATTTGAACGTAAATATGCACTTGCACAATCTATATCATTTTTTATGTTTTGCATTTTGGTGTCTTATGTTGCCAATGCCTCCTCTCGCCCTGTGGCTGTTCCATAGCAAATTGCCTCAGACCGCCATTTGCCATTTAAAACTATGGAATCATCCTTTGGATTTTTTTTCGCATACTCAATTCTGCCTTTACCCTATTTAGTTCGAGTTGCTGCTACAAATGATGAAATTCCTCTCTAGTTATTCATGTTGCAGTGATTGTATCATTGTCATGCACTCCAACCAATGTTCTAAAGCAACTGTTGGTCTTGAGTACCAATTGAAGTAATTATGGAATAAAGTAAACCGACTCCAAACACAACCAAGATTGCATAGGGAGAAATCAAGGAAAACTGATTTCAACATAAAGTTTTAGTCTGACTGATTTCCTAGTACAACATACAAAAATCTATGTACGAGTCGATCACTCTTATGTATATAATCATCAATACGTATTCTGGGCTCATTTATTCCATAGACTTTTGGATTACTCAACATCATTTAGGTCTTTGACTGATATCTTTGGTTCTTGGGTAAAACGGTGGGTTTGAATAACTTTTATCATGGCAGCATCAGTTTAAATGGAAGTTGAGAATTGAGGGTATCTGCAACCTGTCCAAGTTTTCATTTGCATCCCTTTTTCTGTGATAAGAGTTTCCTAGTTTACTTACACTCTGCTCTGGATGTAGTTAATGATATGCCATGAGAAGTTGTTTTGTGAAACATGTAAATAATTTAATTGTTGATAACTACCCTTCGCTGATTAGTTGTTGCAATCTATATTTCTGTCTTCAGGTGTCTGTTGAGTCTTCTTTCACTTTGCATCACACTGGCTGAAAAGCAGGGAAGCAGTAATTGTGTGGGACAAGATAGGACTCAAAATGATGTGTTTGCCTCAGGAATTTTAAGTTAAGCAGCCAAGACATTTTTGTTATTGCTACAGTGGGGCTCTCTGAAAATGGCTTGGCCATTTACATATACACAGATTATGTTTACCCTACAGTTTTAGCACTTAAAATAGCACAGTTGTGATAATATGTCTATTAATTATTTCTTGAGTTATGGTCTCTGTAGGTACTTTTTTTTTTCCTTTTTTTTTTCTTTTCTGCATAAAACTCCGTCTGTTGTACGGTTTCTTTAATGAGTTGTATGACTGAGTGCATGCATGCACCTTAGAATATTAGTTAGTTGATTGTTTCGTCTGTCATTAATTCAAGTTTGGAGATATTTTGGAAGGTGAGATGTATGAATTATATGTCAGTGTTAATTTGATTGAAACTAACAATACTAAATTAAAACAGAGGTGCTTCACCGATAGCTAGGATTAAGGAAAAAAAAATTTAACCTCATAAAGTGCCATTTTTAAAGGTTATCCTATAATTTATTTATTCTTTTTTACAATTTGTCTCCCAATGTGTCGAAGCTGACAACTTGTCTCCTCGATTGAAAATCTTAATATGGCACAAAAGAGTTTTTAATTCAATTAATGATAAATTTTAAATTAACCTTTAGAATTGATTTAGGGCTTTTAAAGCTCATGGTGAGACGAACAAAATGAGATATGATGTGTCGATTTCTGAAAATTGATACCTCTATAATCGATCTACGAAGATAGTAGGAGCACGTGTGTATAGAAAAAAATTCAATTCAAGTTTTTTGAAAATCAAGATATCTGATTTTCAATTGGAGGTGTCATTTGAAAGCTAGTGGGACCAATTTTCTAACACGTAAATCTTATGAAAATCCAACGGTCGGATTTTTATCAGTATTTAGAAAATTACTGATCAATAGTTAGCTTTTTTTTAGGCCACTAACCGAAATTCGACCGTTGGATTTTCATAAGATTTACTTCGATAGAAAAGTCGTCCTCCATGCTTTCAAATGACACCTCCCAATAAAAAATCGGATATCTTGATTATTAGAAAACTTGAATTGAAATTTTTTCTATACACACGTGCTCCTGCTATCTTCGTGGATCGATTTTAGAGGTATCAATTTTTAGAAATTGACAAACCATACCTCATTTTGTTCGTCTCGCCATGGGCTTTAAAAACCCTAAATCAATTTTAAAGATTAATTTAAAATTCATCATTGAGTTAAAAACTCTTTGGTGCCATATTAGGGTTTTCAATTGAGAAGGCAAATTGTCAGTTTCGATTACATTGGGAGGCAAATTGTCAAAAAAAAAAAAAATTATATGGCAAATTCTAAAAAATAACATACTTTGTGAGGTTAGAAAAATTCTTACCTAAATAAAAACCACGTATTAACAAAATACGTTTTCTTAATTTTATTTTTTAGTGAAAAACGTATTCCTTGAATACGTATTTCAATTAAATTTGTTTAATTTTTTGAAAAACATATTGTCGGAAATGTATATCCAATTTTAATTTAAAATCGTATTTACAAAATACGGTTTTATGAAAACCCCAAATTAATTTGAAACCCTAAAGCCCTAAATTTATTTTAAACCTAATTCAATTTATGTTTTATAAAACGTATTTCATGAATACGTTTTATAAATATAAAACGTATTTCATTAATACGGATTTTAATATTAATTAATTTTTAAGAAAAAATTAAATTAAAATAAAACGTATAACTGAAATACGTTTTCTAATATAACAAAAAATTAAAAGCGTATTTGCAATATACGTTTTTTAACAAAATATAAGTACGAAAAAATCTTCTCCTCCACCACTTTGCACGATCAAAACTGCGAGAACAAAAAAAAAAACTTCACTTCCTTCCATATTCTTCACCTGAAAATATAAAAAATAAAAAATAAAAAATTAACAGTCAATCGATTCGGAGAAGAGGTTAGTTGTTATTTTAATGTAATGTAATTACATTTTTTTTGTTGTTTATGAATGTGTAAGAAATATTTGTTGGTTTTGATGAGTATAGTTTAGAAAAGATTTATTGTTGATTTAATAGTTGTGTTAAAATTATAGATTGTTCTTGGATGATGGGTTTCGGTGTATGTTGAGAATTTTTACGGAAATTGGATGATTTGTATTGTATGGTTGGATTATGAGAATTAGGGTTTTGGAGAGTTATTTTATAAAAGAATTGGTGATTTTTTATTTTTTATTTTTGTTATTGTAGTATTAATTGGAAATATTTAGCTTGATTTGAGTAAAAGAATAATTGAATTTTTTGGGATATTATGTGTTGTTGTAATTGGGAAGAATTGAAAGTGTATTATATGTTATTGATGAATTTTATTTTTTGGTTGTGGGAATGATAAAAGAATAATTGAATTTTTTGGGTGTTGGGTTAGAAAGTATGTGTTGTTGTAATTGAAAAAAATTATTTTTTGCAACAGGTATAAATGGCGTCTACCGGACCATACTTTGTTAATGTGTATTGGAATCATCCCAAGGAGTTGTTATATTATTTTTCAGATTTTAAAAACTCTCCGGATGGTTCATTTAGCATTGGAGAGAAGATATCATTGAAATAATTGGTAGATATTCTTTATGAAAATTTTGGGTTTCGTCGAGATGGTTGGATAATTGAGGAGATTAGTTTACTGACTAACCAACCCGATGATTCATGGAATATTGGAAACCTGAATACTGATAGTGCTCTTCAGTGGATATATAATTTTCCCCCTTTCTCCTATGTGTATTTTCATTTAGAGTTGAAGCAGGTTACGCATGCACCTACAGAGGTTACGCAGTTTGAGGATGTTGCCCCTTTTTACTGGGGAGTGGTTGATGTTGAGGGTACGTCCACTTCACATGTTCGTAATTTTGGCGAAGGGACAAGCTCAACAGTTAGAGAATGCGCTAATGAGAAAGAAAGTGATGATGATTGCATTCGCGGTGAAGACGATTTCACAGATGGTACCTCGGAAACGGAATCGGATAGATTAATAAACGAGGAGAGTGAACCAGAATTTATTGAAGAACACCCATTTTCTAGTAGCGGTCAGCACGTGTATCGCGAGATGGGTGAGTGGGACCCGACGTGTGTAGACCGGGATGAGTATGCCTTGCCAGTCTGGGATGGGCATGTCGAGACTATCTGTTTGGGTACTGTTTTCCAGTCCAAGGAAGAAGCACAGATGGGTATCATGAGTTGGAACGCTAGTAGGTTGAGGGAGGTTAAGACAACCTATTCGAATAAGAAATGATTCAAGGTGGTGTGCACATCTAACAAAGATCAACCTTGTCCGTGGAGGGCTCGGGTGACGCACTGCACATGGGTTCATGAACTGTGGGAAGTAACAGAATGGACTGAGAGGCACAATTGTATGCAAGAAGTCGAATAAAATGACCACAGAAATGTAACCGCCACAATGATCTCAAATCTTGTCATGACCAAGATTCAAAAGAAACCCGACTACAGTGTTACCCTGATCCAGGAGGATGTTAAAAAATGTTGGAAAGTCGATGTGAGCTTCAAGAAGGCATGACACGAGAGGAAAAAGGCCATCGATCGTTTGTATGGCACTTGGGAATCGAACTTCGCACAACTCCCTCAGTAAGAAAATATTTATTAAAAATGTACGTGTTATTTGTCACTATGTTTATGTATTGACGATTAGGTTTTGTAACGTGCAGGTTTTTTGCGGCGCTTCAAAGAGCGAATCCCACTACAATTGTAGAGTGGGAATGGCAGGGTGGGGAAATGACGGCCCACTATCAGCACAGAGAATTCAAATTTGTTTTCTGGGCATTTGGTCCCGCCATTCAGACCTTCCAGAGATGCCCGCCGGTAATTAGCATGGACGACACACATTTGCGTGGCTCGTACAAGGGGAAGTTGCTTGTGGCCGTTGCACAGACTGCGAATAAGCGGCTATTGTCAATCGCCTATGCGATTGTGGATGAAGAGAGCCGAGAAAGCTGGTCATTTTTCCTGACAAATCTCCGGCAACATGTTGTCGACGACAGACATATATGCTTTCTTTCGGACAGGATGCGGGCTTACAGAGTGCGGTGGAATCATTGGAAGCTTGGCAAGAACCCGCTGCATATCACCGGATTTGTCTTCGACACCTTCGGAGCAACGTGGTTACTAGGTTCAGGAATAACAAAATTCGAAATTGGTGTTGGGAGTTGGGTTCACAGGTTTTAACGAAAAAATTTGAACAGATACGATCGCGGCTTTCCGATTTTAATCCGGACACATACGATTACCTGTTCGGAATTCCTCTGGACAAGTGGACCCTGTTTGGAGACGGAGGACGTAGATGGGGTACTTTGACAACCAACATGTCCGAGAGTTACAACAACGTCCTGAAAGGTGTTAGGTTCTTGCCCTGCCGAGCTTTGGTACACGCCACATTCATGAAAACTGTGGACTTGTTTGAGAAGGAACAAAAGAAGTCCACGAGATGCAGTAATGCCATTGCTAGTGCTCACTATGCCGCTTATTGCGAATTGGAGACTACGGCCGCAACTCATGAGGTGCGATGTTCGAACGCAGAGAGATCCCTGTACAAGGTGACAACCGGTCTACGGGCTCATGGTAGAGGGGACAAAAGGTATATGGTTTATTTATTTATTGTATAATTTTTATTTTTTTATTTTGGTTCATTAAAATTTTTAGTTGTTTATAAATATAATTAAATGTAGAAAAACAGGTATAAAGTTTCGTACGACCGGATGCGTTGTAGTTGTCTGAAGTGGCAGACACACAGAAAACCATGCTCTCATGCTATAGCTGTGTGTCGTAAATAAAAGCTCCACCAAAGTTCTTATACGATCCCCACTTTTGGACAGAGAACTGGGTGGCTCAATTTTCTAATTGGAGTTTTGCTCCGAAAGGTGATCCAGACACATGGCCGCTGGTCGGATGGAACTTACTATCACATTGGGAGTGGATCATCACGAAGGCTAGACCCGATCGCGTGCAAACGAAGCGTCATCGAATGCAAATGGATCGTCGGGCCGCCGGAATGATAGAGGGCAGTGTAGTAGATGTGGTAATCCAGAGCATTTTGTGGATGACTGTCCGTCCTCACATCCTCGCACTGATAGATCTAGACTCAGTGATGAGTGGGGAAACTAGATTTGTTAGTGTTTATTTTTTGAATGTTGGACTATTTTTTTTTATTGTTTACTTTGATTTGTTGGACTATGTTTGGATGATATATTTTTGTTATGTTGGACTGTATATGAGTTGATTTGTTTGTTTATTTTTGGTTTAGTTGGTTGTTTTGAATATTTGTAACAAGTTTTAAATGGTGAAACAATAGAAAGAACAAGTTTTTTTTTTTTTTTTTTT